CAAGCATCAGTTGAAGGGCCAAGGTCGTTCTTCCTAAGAAGACAATCAGTGTATAGGCCTTAAGCTTTTCCCACAATCTCATCCCTGGTATATAGGAGTTTCCTTCAAAGAATCCTCATGGTCTAAGACACTTATCACAAACTTAATCACTGCTCCTATGCTCATAAGAACTATTGCCAATTGGAGCTTAAGTGATATTTGGCCTGATCGGAACTTGTGTTCTGGCCAAAGTTATTCTGTGATGGCGATTAGAAGTCAGGGTTGCTATTTCAAGAAAAACAACCACCCTTATGGTGTGTCTTCTTTCAGAGGGTTTTTAGAGGGTTGAAGGTCACTCTACTATCTAGCAAATGGTGTGCTTAGCAAACACTCCCCAGATAAGTCGCTGATGCCTTCGAGGACTACGCCTGTGTTGGTTCCTCTTAGCCAAAGCTAACCCTCCTTAGCTTGAATGATACAACTCCTGACTTCATTTAGCTTGGATGATGCAACTCCAATGTTGTTCTTCAGGGTGAGTAGAATCAGACCCTTGTTCAGAATTTGACATGTCTTCCCAAAAAATAAAAGAGGCCCCATGGTGGGTGCTAAATGGTTGATGACACGACCAAACAGTCAATTAGATCCGGGTTAGGATCAGTTCTAATCCGAAATTTGATCAATCCCCCCGGGTCCTCACCGGGACGGGTAGGGGAGAGTGATGAAGGTGTCTCTTCCTTCTCTGACTTTATGCTTAGTTCTTAAGCGGGGGCTTGATGCTCACGCTGCACAGACAAGAAGAACCCGTGAGAGGGCGGGGACTGGTTCCCCCGTTATTCCTCCAATGGTCAAGTTAGTGAAACTCGACTGGGAAGGGGAAGGTTAGGAACCGAGGTGGTTCTTGAGGTGGCAAGGTGCCGTTACAGAGGGTCTATGTAAGCTCCTCCCTGTAGACACAGAACTGTGGGTTCTTTTTCTTTTGAGAGAGAGAGAGAGAGAGAGAGAGAGAGAGAGAGAGAGCTTTTTTCCTCTCTTTTTTCCACCCCCTCAGAGGAAAGGAGTATACATGTATATATCTCCGTCGTTAGGATCAATAGGTCACCTCTAGCCCTGCCTAGGGAGGTAGTGATGAAGTGCGGGCTAAGAGCCAAGTCATCCCTTGTTTTATAGGTGTCAGCTGGCGACTGGAGGGGAAGTCACTAAATAATGGGAGAGGGTGTCTCTGTATTTTTTGGGAAGTGATTGAGAGTGAGGTAGAAGACACACTAGCATGGTGAGTCGTCCCTCGCTTTACAGGTATTGGCTGACAACTAGAGGGGAAGTCACTTCGGCACGGGAGAAGGTATCTCCATATTTTTTTAGGAAGTGATTGAGTGTGGTAGAAGGCACGTTGGTAGCTGACAAGTCATGAAGGCCATCAGGCTAAAATCTGGATAAGGCTTGTCCTAGGTGGACTGGGATGCTGACATGTGCTCTGGGGGAGAGGCTTAAGGCAAGGGTCGAGTCCTCAACTTAGTTAACAATAGAGAATGTCCATCAAGTCATCTCCGTGAGTTGCCAAGTGAGTGGTCGAGTGCCCTAGGTAAGTCATCCTCGATGATAGACTGATCCCGCATTTCGTGTCGGCATGAAAGAATATCAACTTGATGAGTCGGCAGGGTCAAGGCTTCTGTTGGGCTTGGTTCACTTAAGTTGGTTAAGGTCATTTTGCCAGGACTCTTACTGAATTATTTTGCAAATACTCGTATCTTGGGTGAGTGAACACCATAATAGAGACAATTACAAGAGAGATTGATTATGTCATTCATATGCATTTTATCAATCTCTATTCACAAGTTAGCACTGAATCATTGTGATAGTATTTCCATAGAAATCTATTCCATCTTTAATGACATCCCAAGTACTTCGTTTCTCAAAAATAGAAGTCAGATGGTTGGAAGGAGAGGAAGAGAGAAATAAATGAAAATTTTTATAACATATAAAATGAGTAATTAATTAGAAGGTAAAAAAGCCAAAGGTTAAGAAGATATCACTTTAGTAATTAGGGTTTATTTATAACAAAAATATAACATTTATTTTGGATGCATGTAAATATATTGGTTGTAGTATTTATTTAATATTTTGGGTCTGATATCATAGTAAGAAAGTTTATTTTGTACTTTTCACTATAACATCAAAATGATAATATAATTAGCCTAATGTATTCCTAATCGTGCCCCTACTTCATAATATTAACATTATAGATTTTTTTGATACAATATGTTTTTAAATTATACCGTGAAATACATTTAGGGGGTTGAATTTTAAAAATATTTAATCTAATGAGATTTTAAGATACATTTCTTCATTTTAGTTATTCTATAATACATTTTGAAATTTGAGTGATCGCAATGTCTCCAAAAAAAACTAATCACCAAATTAATTGTACCAATTTAAATTGTACCAAATTGACTCATTTCTATAATCAGTAAGTTTTGAAACATATTTTTAAAATTCTAATTGAATTATAGAGGAACATACCATGCTAACACGTGCTTGGCAAATTTGATCCTTGCAAGAAAGTCAACCTCTTTTGCTTTGTTAAATTTTCTATTCTAATCCAAGTCAAGTTTTAGTTTAGCTTTTCTTTTGTAATTGTATGGTTTTGATTTAGTTGGTATTATGGTCAGTGGAAGAAAATGTATGAGCTAATTTAGACTCAAGAGATGAAAGAGATGTTATATAAAAATAAAAAGGGTTGTTTGTTAGGCTCCGTTTGGATAACATGGTAATTTACTTATTTCCATTGTGTTTTTGCTAAAACCAAAACACCGTGCGTTTAAAAACCATAGTGCTTTTTAAGCTAAATCATCCTCAAACCAAAAACGCAACACTTATTTCAAAACACCTTGTAGGTGTTTTGAGTTTGGAGTTTTGGTTTGAGTTTGAGAAGGTGTTAATATAATATCTAACATAATATATTAAATATAATTAATATAGACTTATTATCAACATGCTTATTATATTATACTATACTATACTATACTATATTATATTTCATCTAATATAGTAATATTTATTAAGTAGTATAAAATATAATAAATAAAATATCTTATATAATAATATAATAACATACAAAATACAAGTATTTAATATGTTAATAATGTATTTTATAATAATAAATAATAATAAAACATAAAAAAAACTAATTTAAAAATAATAAAAAAGGTTATTGATATTAAATAAAACATAATAATATATAATAATATACTATACAATAGTATAGTCGCTATAATATTATTAATTTTTTAATAAATAAATTGTAATAAATTAATAATTTATATTAATATATTGTATAGTAAATGTAATATAATATATAAAAATTAAATATTATATAATAAATAATATATTTATTATAAAGTAAATGAAAATTTTTAATAATAAATATTATACTAACAAAATATAATGAAAAAAATTAATAATGTAGTATATAACATTTGTTATCATAAATTGTTATATATATTAAAAGTACTATTAATAAATTTTTAATAAATAAATTGTAATAATTAATAATATAATAATATATGTATAGTAAATGATAATATAATATATAAAATATTAATATATTATATAATAAATAATAATCTATTATAAAGTAAAATAATTTTAATAATAAAATAATTTATTGCTAACAAATTTCAATAAAAAAATAGATATATTCGAAGTATATAACATTTATTTATATCATAAATTGTTAATATATAATAAAGTACTATTAATAAACTCAACATATTTTAAAAAACTAAACAATTATATGATATAAAATATTTATAATATATAAATTTATAATACATATATAATAACAAATATAACATATTAATAATTACATTATATGATAATATTATAATATTATATTAACATAAATAACATTATTTAGAAATATTAATATAATGATAACAATAAATTGAATACCAAAATAATAAATATATAAATTATTTAAATATAATATGTTAATAATTGTAATAAATAATAGTATACATAATGTAACTCATTAAAGTACAACATAATATTATAATATATTATACAATATTATATTAAATTATATTATATTATATTTAATGCTTATAATACTATAATAGTGCAAACTAAATATTATAACATTTTATTATAATTAATATATAATATATTAATAATATGTTTAATACTAATATTGTAATTGGTCAAACTAGTGTTGACCAAAAATACTTAACATGGTGTTTTGAAAACATTTAAGGGAAAAACATAATACCATGGTTTTTTTTACAAAAACACAATAAGAAAAACAATATGGTATCCAAACAAAGTCATAGTTAATTTGGTTCATAGTTTATGCAATTATTCAAATTGAATTTTAAAAGTATAGACTCTACATCTTGTTATTATAATTATTTGATTAACTTTGTCGTATACTATTTTGTGACTGATTGGGAAGAAATTCATAGTCTTGAGCTGAAATTTTGGACTCATTAGCAGCCAGTGCTCAAAAGACCCAAAGCAATAAAGAATGAAGCGCACCATTCTCTAATTTTACATTAGGTAGTTTCTACAAAACTCTGGCCCCCGACATGCAACTAAGGTAGACCAAAAAGTAAACATTGGCATTCTAAAATTCTAACTATAGACATAACATTTGTATGTAGTATTAGATTATAAACTATTGATAATGATTTTATTCTTGACCAAATATTAGGAGGTGCATTTAATAAAGAGTTATGGATGATTATTTAAGGATTAATTATAACCTATGGTATAATTGCGGATTATCAAAATTTAAAAGGGCAAAATAGGAAATTAAAAGTTTTAACATGTGTATTCTCTTTTATAAGTAGTATAAGTATAGTATAGATATAGTAATAGATTATATTAGGTTAACCCTAATAAAAACAGTTAATATAGGTTAAAGCAATATCACCTATTTATTTCGAAAAAATAAAAGCACGGTCAACTGTAAATTCGGGTTGTTAAGATGTATCTCTTCATAATATCTAGCAGTATCCTGAGGATCCCAATTTTTCTCGTCAATTCCCGCATGAGCAGAGAGAAGGATGATCACAAATCGTATGGTAACCCAATCTCACATCTTAATATGCAACAAACTCAAAAACTAATCAACCATCTCCTCTTTAACTCCTTTTTCTTCTTTCCCGTTGACTTACGCTGGGATTGAGAGTGATATGATTCACAGCCTGTGAGCGTGCAAACTATGGAAGCACCAAGATCAAACAACAACCAACCACCGCCACCACCTAATGATGATGGTGGTGCCATTGCAGCAACGACCACGGGCGGTGGGAGACTGTGGAAGTTGCTCGTGTCGATCGCCGACTCGTTGTTTGTTCCATGCACACCACCCAACGTCTTCCTCCCTAGCCTCCCATGGGCCAACATTTTCAGCATCACCTCCACCTCTCCAGTAAGTTCCTCCGGCACTGTCGTAATCGGAACAATCCTCTCCGATCAAGAAACTACAAAGAACAAGGTGAAGCTCTGCTTCCAGCTCCCACAGGATCCCAATCCCTTCCTCTTCCTCGATCTCCCCATCAGCCATCTCGACAGCGACGACGCCTGCAGAGTCGTGCTCGAATGCGACCGCGTGAAATCAGGCGGCAGGCCCCTGATGAGCGTTGTCACGTGGGCGGTGTACTTCAACGGGAAGAGGGTCGGGTTTGGATCGAGGAGGGAGGTCGATGCTGGTGCCGGATGGGCTCTGGATTCTTTGCGTGGGGTTTCGACCGGCGTTGGGGTGCTTCCACCGCCGCCGACGGCAGATGATGGCCCGAGGTTGGGGTACATGAGAGGGAAGTTTGAGAGGGTTGTTGGGTCTGCTGACTCGGAGTCTTATCATTTTGTTGATCCTGCTGGGTGTCTTGGCGGCAATGAGCTCAGTTTCTTCTTCGTTCGTCTCTGATGTGCGCTCTTCAATGATTTCTCTTTTTTTTTAGAGAGAGTTCTCCAAGGGTGGGTTGAATTGTGGGATCGAATTAGTGCTTAAATTGTAATAGTCCAGTATCAAGTTTTAAGTGCCTACGTATCTTGAGTTTTAATTTTTTTTTTCTTTTTTTCCTTCTTCAGACTGTATACCCATTTGCTCACATCTATGCCGTTAAATCAGTGGGCATTCGTTGATTACGATGATTAGAAACTAGCTATCTAATTTACTACTTAATAATTGTATCAAAAGTAGAAACTAACGTTCTGCTTATCGTCGTCACTGTTTCCTGTTTTTTGTTAAGGGAGATTATACAAAATTGAAGTTAAAAGGGATTATACAGAACTAGAAATTAATTACAGGGGAGATGGATTCGTTATTTCTAAAATTAAACTCCTTTCAAATTAACTCTCATAAATATTTTCTAAAACTAATTTAAAAGTTCATCGCAAATGAAAATTTCTAAATTATTCTTAAATTTCATTCCAAAGCTTTGTAAAATTTCTTAAATTTCTGCCAAATATTTTGTTGATGGAGCTACACCGACTAATTTTTATTTTTGCTAGTGTAGGCATCAAAAATTTGCCTATAGGTCCCAAACTCACCTCAAGACAGAGAGAAGACGCAGAACGTCATCATCTAAGTCAGAGAAAATCATCCAATGCAGAAGGAAGCAAAGGAGAACACAAAACACAACTCAAAAATAGGACTTGGAATTGTCTCATAATTGGTGTCTCGCATATGCGAGATAGTGGAGGTTGTCTCGCCAACTACGAGACAGCCTCCCAAGTGTTTTGGCAGTTTTATGAGGTTTTTTGGGGTCCACTTGACTCCATAACTGCTTGAGGACGCTCATTAACGTTAGTGGGTAGTTACATCCGAGAAATACGCCCACTACCCACGAAAATTGTGGCATTTAACGCATTTTAAGATAGTAGGTGGCGGTTACAAAGTCCTGGAAGTTGTCTCCTTTGGCCGAGACAGTGGACACTGTCTCGCCCACATGAGACATTGACCACCAAGTGTTTTGCCTCTTATTCGATGATTATGGTTTCCAATTGCTATAAATAACCCCTTACACACTTGTGAAGGGAAACCAATGTGTGATCAAGCAGAGAGAGGCTGGCATTTGGTGAACTTTGAGAGCAAGAGAGAGTTCTTCATCCACTTTCAAGTATTCTCAAGAGTCCTTTGGTGTTTCCCTAAGCTCAAACTTAGATTTGATCTTGAGAAGAGTACTTGTCTTACCTCGCTAACACACTTATTTCTGTTATTGTTTTTCCGTCGAAGCATTAACTTTAAGCCTTCTTCGTATCCGATTTGAAAACGTTGCTCCGTGGTCCACGGATAACGTATCACCAGCACATGAAAATAATCACACGCAAACAGAGACTACTACATAGGAGTTTCTGTGTGTGTTACTAGGGAGCATAATTTTGTTTTCTTTGTAAAAGAAGAGAGTTACACGTGTAAAGCTTATCCTTGTGTTTCTTTTAAACGATTTAATAGAAGCAACAAAGAAAATTGTTTCCAAAGCAAACATGCTGGCGACAACAGTGGAAGTCATCAGTCCTGGCATCGAGACTGTCGTGTCATAGCCTAGCAACATTCAAGTCGGATCGATGGTCGAATGCGAGTTCGACCAAGACGAATTCGAGGAATATCTCTCCTCGTCTTCATCAAGATCCTCTTCTCCCCGTAAGTGTAGGAGGATCTCATCTTCGATGAAGGTTTTCCATTCTTCCGTACTAATGAAGACTCAGGGTAATGACTCTCGCCCAACAATTGTCGAGGCTTTCCCTCGCAACGGTATTTCGATAACCAACAAAGTCAGAAATTCTGCTCACAACGGCTCCTCCCCAGTTAAGAAGTCATTCAATGGAAATGAAAGTTCGCCAACTCTGACGAAGAGGGCTCATCAGAGACAACGCCAGTGTAAGGCTCGTCAGTTTGTGAAGACCTTGGAACAGATAGATGGAGTGCGCTTCTACGCAGACTTGGAGTCACGGAAGCGTTAAGCAACTGAACAATTCCAACAACAGGTTGCTGATACTTCCTCCAAGCTATCAACCGAGGAATAGGATCTCATCAAGAGGACTCATTCAACGAAGAAGGAATGCATCCAGAGGCACCATGCACGTGCCACATATGCTCGTACTATTGTGCGAAAGGCACAAGAATTAAAGAAGAAAGAGATAGACAAAGAACCACCAACATCCTGCAAAGTTTGGATTCCAAAGTCCGAACTTGCACAAATAAAATTCGGAGTTAGCCAGAAACTGTTTGGTCGAGACAGTGGCAACTGTCCCTCCCAAAGAGCCTTTGGCCGAGATAGTTTTCACTATCTTGCCCAAAGGTCTTTTTCCATAGCCACTTCTTCTCCTCCTTCGACTTCCGTTCTAGGTTTTCGTTCTAGGTTCTTCTTTGGCTCCTTCCACTATGCCTCCAATGAAGTCTTGGGTCAGCCCTGACCTAACAAAGTTCAGAATTACAATAGCTGACCACCTTGGTCCTCGACAAGGATGAAAGCAAAGCATCAATGAAATAGCGTTTAGGTCCGGTGATCAAAACTCAAGGAGCTTCTCAGATTGGGGGTCGTATGCACACTCCTATCAAACCAATTGTTGTGCAAAAGTGTCCCGCCACCTCCAAACAAACCGGGACATCGTAATGTACTTGTTCATGCGATGTGCACAAGAGGGGAAAGTAGGCCTCCCTTTCTTGGAGAATTCCTGTCACCTCCCTCCTGGGGGTCCGTGTTGAAGCCCAAGATCCTGTTAAGACTCCACACTCACAAGGGGGTGGTTTTAAATGTGCGACTCATGACCTGACCTTGGATCCTTCAAAGGCAATAACAAGTTGTCCAGAGAATGTCAACAAGATATTGTATCCAAGTCAACGTCCCAAAAAGAAGATGTTTCTATCAAATAAAGACGACGTTATACTTGGGGATGGAAGGAAAGCCCATGATGAATCACACCAACAAATGACGGGGTGCTCCGGTCATCATGCCGAGGAGTTGCACCGTCAGACTGGGGGTGCGAACACAACTCGAAAGAGGATTATTCAAGAAGTAAGTTCTCATTGTTCATGTGAGAGGCTTATTAAAGCAGTGCTTTCAGAATGTAACTGCTCTAAGCAAAAATTCACTCCACGAAGGGTCTCAGTGTTCCAAAGACTTTATACGCCATCAGCTGAAGTATCAAAACCTAAACCAAGACGCTTTTGAAAGAGAAGATCCACCATCCAAGATGATGAGTTACCTAAAGTAACCATTAACATAGCTGGCAAAGGAAAAGGAAAGTATAAATGACATTCAACTGACTCTAATCCTGACTTTACCCTAGGAGGAAGAGTCGATCCAAGAATCTCTCAAAGAATGTCTTGGCTCCAACTAAGAGCTACCAGACACAGAGATTATAGGAGGATGCATGAAAGAATATCTTCAGATGATGAACTATCCGATACCATCTCCTCCATTGCTTTTAATAACACAACATCTAGCATAGGGCAAGCTATAGAAGTGTTCACAATCACTCCTGATGTTATAGCTCAAATGCTTTAAGAAGCTCTAGCTAAATAATGAGAAGAGATTAGATCTTAGATGAAGACATAGATGGAGTTGGTTGTGCAACAAATGAGAGAGTTACAGGTTCAAAGACCACCACAACCTGAGTCCAGTCAGCGAGCTGAGTCTAGTCGTCGCACTACACCTATCATGCCCACTCAAATCAATACAGATGACAACAACCCAGAAGTGGATAAAGTTATTGCTGATACATCTCCTAATAACAATAATGCTACAAGTGGGGGTAATCCAGTTGATCCTCCCCAGCATCGGCCAAAGAAAGATGCGGGCGAAGACAAGAAAATGATGAAAGATCTTAAAAGCAAATTCAATGCCTTGATGTCTTTTCAAGAAGTAAAGAAGACCGGCATCCTGTGTCCATATCCAAGGGAGTAGGAGTTAATTCTGTACCCACTGAAGTTCAATCTGATTAACTTCACACCATTTGACTGGAGAGGCTCGCCAACTAGCATCTAATCTACTTAAAGTCTCATTTGGGTATGATCTCTGGAAATGGACCTTTGATGATTCGGTCATTCATGGGCACCCTTCGCGGAGCTACCTTCGATTGGTACCAACGTCTCAAGCTAGGAAGCATCAACTGCTGGGATGACATAAAAAATTTGTTCCTCAGCAATTTCTTTGACAACGACACTGAAGTGTCGATTGGAACTCTTTTGAATGAGAAGCAGAAAGACAAGGAATTAGTTGAAAATTTAGTCAAACGCTTTCGAAACCAGACAATGAATTGTAGAGATCCAGTCACAGAAGAGTTCATACTCGAAATATGTCATAATAATCTCTCCCTTGATGTATTAGAGGCCATGGGGGTGGTACCATTAAAAACTTGGAAGGAGTTGAAGCTACATAGAGAACAAGCCGAACGTTTTCTCAAAAGAAAGAAGATTGAGATAGGCTAACCAACGGTTAATTCTCCGAAGCCTAATTTTGCTCCTCGTGGCAGGGGAAAAGCACCAGTAACTACGGTTGATGCCCATAAAATGTCACAATAGCAACCTCAGAGGTAGCAAAAGACTTAGGATTCGAGATTCTAGAGGGTATACACTTTCAAGGATGACAAGGTTTCGGCCATCTTCAAGTACCTTCTTGACAACAACAAAATCAAGCTACCACCTATTACAAATCAGAAGGAAGCCAACAAGACTTCGAACCCAAAATACTGTGCATATTATATGAGGGCTCATCACCCCACCAAGACTGGTTTTGTTCTTAAAGACAGAACCCAAGCCTTGATCGACGTCGACATCATAACGGCAAGCACTCAAGGAAAAGAAGGTGGGAGCAAACATGGTGTCTATCAGCTTTGGATCTGACAATGTCATACCTCCATTGTTATTCCAGTAGAAGCCTGTTCCAGAGGTGAAAGTGAAAATCATCAACAATGACCCACATGGACGACGTCAGAAGGGGCTCGTGCCACATATAGCCTCTAATGGTAAATCCTATTGGTTCATCTCGATATTCTCAAGGATGAACAATGGACAGGGTCCTCTAGAAAGAACTCCAAGAGCAAGGGCAAGTCTTGT